AGTACCAGAAATTCCAGGAAAAACAAAAATTTGTTTTTGCAATTAGCCGAGCATGTAGCCCAGTCTCTCAATGTCATTTCATGTTATCTATGTGGAGGAACTGTAATAAGAGATCAATGGCCATAGGAAGCCTGAGAATTAGTACCTACAGACCGAGTTCCTGATGAATTCCCAGCTTAAAAGAATCACCCTGATAATTTCTGGGTCCTAAAAGCCTCAATTATTGGACAATATTGCATAGTTAGAAAAGGAGAAGAATTCACTCACCCCGTGGGATGACTTAGTTGTCTGAGACAGAAACTGTATAACAGTACCACAGAAACAGTTACTTGGTGGAGTTCAAATCACACAGAAAGAAATTCATTTAGTAAATTTCCAAAGTTGCAAACTGTGTGAACCCACCCGGAGTCCCACTGGGACTAGACAGTCCCCACTGGATTATACTGGATATGTGGGCATACAGCTTATGCCAAATTACCTGACCAGTGGGCAGGTAGTTGTGTTATTGGCACTATTAAACCATCTTTCTTCCTACTGCCCATAAAAACAGGTGAACTCCTGGGCTTCCCTGTCTATGCGTCCCGCAAAAAGAGAACATAGCTATAAGAAATTGAAAAAATGATAAATGGCCCCCTGAGAGAATCATACAATATTATGGGCCTGCTACTTGGGCACAAGATGACTCGTGGGGATATCGGACCCCCATTTACATGATCAACCGAATCATACAGTTAGAAGCTGTCTTAGAAATAATCACTAATAAAACCAACGGAGTCTTGACTATTCTGGCCCGGCAAGAAACTCAGATGAGAAATGCTATCAAAATAGATTAGCTCTCGACTACTTGCCAGCAGCTGAAGGAGAGGTCTGTAGGAAATTTAACCTTACTAATTGCTGCCTACTCATAGACAATCAAGGGCAAGCAGTTGAAGACATGGTTAGAGATATGACAAAACTGGCACACATGCCCGTGCAAGTGTGGCATAGATTTGATCCTAGGGTCATGTTTAGAAAATGCCTCCCAGAGGTAGGAGAATTTAAAAATCTTATAATAAGAATTGTAATAGTAATAGGAACCTACTTACTGCTCTCGTTTGCTACCTGTACTTCTTCGAATGATAAAAAGCTTCATTGCTACCTTAGTTCACCATAATGCACAAGTGTGCTGTATGAATCACTATTGATCTGTTTTGCAAGAAGACATGGGTAGTGAAAATGAAAGTGAGAACTCCCACTAATAAAATGAGTGAGAGTCTCAAAAGAGGGGAATAAGGGAGGAGACCACACCTCATATTGTCTTATGCCCAATTTCTGCCTCCAAAGAAAGAAGTAAAAACTAAAAGGCAGAAATGAAATTCACAAGCAGACAGCCCGGCGCCACACCCTGGGCCTGGCAGTTAAAGATCGACTCCTGACCTATTGGTTCTGTTATCTGTAGATTACAGACATTGTATAGAAACGCACTGTGAAAATCCCTATCTTGTTTTATTCCGATCTAATTACCAGTGCATGCAGCCCCTAGTCACCTACCCGCTGCTTGCTCAATCAGTCACAACCCTCTCACATGCACCCCCTTAGAGTTGTGAGCCCTTAAAAGGGACAGGAATTGCTCACTTGAGGAGCTCGGCTCTTGAGACAGAAGTCTTGCCAATGCCCCCGGCCAAATAAACCCCTTCCTTCTTTAACTCGGTGTCTGAGGAGTTTTGTCTGTGGCTCATCCTGCTACAGAGTCACAGTATTCTTTCATCAGGGCATCGGTACAACAATCCACTTCCACGTTACCCTGCCTTCCTCAGAAGAAAAGACTTACAATTCACGTTTAAGAATCAGTCTAAAGTAAGTACATATAATCTGATGTCTATTTTCACAATTAGGAGGAGAAAAATAATAGACTTTAAGGAAATTCCACTTATCTAATGTCATTTAAATAAAAATGTTTCACTGGGCACACTGGCTCACGCCTATAATCCCAACACTTTGGAAGGCCAAGGCGGGTAGATTGCCTGAGCTTAGGAGTTCAAGGCCAACCTAGACAACATAGTGAGACCTTGTCTCTACCAAATACAAAAAAAAATTGGTGAGGCATGGTGGCTCGTGCTTGTAGTCCCAGCTACTAGCGGGAGAGGGGTCAGGGGTTGGCGGTGGTGGTTGGGCTGAGGTGGGAGGATCGCTTAACCCTGGGAGGCAGAAGTTGCAGTGAGCTGAGATCGCGCCACTGCACTCCAACCTGGTGACACAGTGAGACTCCATCTCAAAAAAAAAAAAAAATGTTTTTAATGATCCACTCAACTTAAAATGATGCTTCCGAGGTCATTTTGAAAAGACTGTTGAATCATGTTTATTTCACATTTTGCAGTGTAAAACTTGTTTTATACTGACATCAAGTGGCAATAATTTGTAATGCAGTTTACCAAACTGCTTTTCTTTACTCTGAAAAGATATGATTTAAATATATGATACTGATACCTTAAAAAGTCTGAGTAAACAACGTGACTTAAGGAATGCCTAAAGATGCAATTCCAATTCAGTTGCCTCACAAGTAATTCCCTAAGCAATCCATTTCTTCAGAGTCTCTGTGTGACCTCGGACATGTTGGTATGTTTTTCTGTTTGGTCTCACTACTCATCCATAAAATGTGGCTAATGATATGACATATTGAACAGGGAGTGTAAATATTCAAGGAGATGTAAATGTAAAATGAGTAAGTGCCAGGCACATAGTAAGTGCTCAATGAATATTAGCTGCTAGATTAAGATTTCCCTATGGAAATACAAGAATCAAAGGAAGGGCTGACACCCTACTCTCAACACATAGAGGTCTGCTTTTCAAGTAGACAGCCATCTAAAAAAGTAAGAACTTCAGGAGGAATCCAAAAATATGTTCAGGGTTAAGAGTCACTAAAGGGAAGAAGGTAGGAAACCAAAGGCCATCTTTTCCTAACTCACAATCACTCCTGATGTGAATTCCATTTAGGATATATATGACTCTACCAGGTAAACCACTTAGACCAACACACTGCCAACTCAATTTTTTTTTCTAACACATTGCACAGAAAGCAGCAAAATAAGGATGTCATGTCAGCAGAGTTTGCATTTCCTTATTTAAGCTTTTAATAACTTAAAATGCTTTGACAATCACTTAAATAAGTTTATATGTCTAAAATAAGCTAAATAATTTTTCAAGCTGGTAGAAATTCAAGTCACATGAAATAAAGATTCCCAATTTAAGCAAAATAAAGATTCTCTATGTAAACATCTGCTTCTGACTGAGAAACAAGTCTTACCCATCATTTCCTCAGCCCACCATGGCCCCAAGATGGCACATCTAGTTCCATACCTTTTTCTGATTCCACTTCAGAAGGCTAACAGCCATTTTCTGACCTAACATATGAGTCATCAAACACTTCAACCCATGCTCCAAGAGAAGTCCAGCTTCAAAATGGATTTTGCTGCCATCTATGGTCTTAGAACATACATACCCGTGACATTCATTCAGATTATGGAAGTCCCAGTAACCAATAGGGATATTAAATGGCTCCTACAGAGCTTCACTTGGGTCTATTACAGGCAGACTACAGAAACTACCCTCTAAAGATGCTTCCTAGTTTCCTAGAGATACTTTCAGCAAAGGAAGCTAGACACACTTCTGTTTCTGTCTCCATTTTCCCTGTCTTTCTATTAACTGGCTCTCATCATGAACATTGTTAACTTGTCCAAACTTACTTCCAATTCCTGAGCTATTCCTACAGCACAGCAAAGTTAAGCCATTCCCAAATGGAAAACATAACTTTAGCCAAGAAAGGAACTTGGGGAGCCATAATTAGTTTTAACCTTTAACCTTTTGGCTCTACAAAAATGTGGAAAGAAGGCCTGGTGTGGTGGCTCCTGCCTGTAATCCTGTAATCCCAGCACTTTGGGAGGCCAAGGCGGGCAGATCATGAGGTCAAGAGATCGATACCATTCTGGCCAACATGGTGAAATCTCGTCTCTACTAAAAATACAAAAATTTGCTGGGTGTGGTGGCGGGCGCCTGTAGTCCCAGCTACTCAGGAAGCTGAGGTAGGAGAATTACTTGAACCTGGGAGGCGGAGGTTGCAGTGAGCTGAGATCACACCACTGCATTCCAGCCTGGTGACAGAGTGACATTCCATCTCAAAAAAAAAAAAAAGTGGAAAGAGATTAGTCAAAAAAGAAAGTTGAGCAAGGGGCTGGCTACCATGTAGCTCCACATAAAGCCTTGAGCTTCACAGTACAGCAGTCAGTTTTAGTGCCATCAAGGAACTGAATTTCTTGGCCAGGTGCGGTGGCTCACACCTGTAATCCCAGCACCTTGGGAGACCAAGGCAGGCAGATTACTTGAGGCCAGGAGTTCAAGACCAGCCTGGCCATCTCTACTAAAAATACAAAAATTAGCCAGACGTGGTGGTGCATGCCTGTAATCCCAGCTACTCGGGAGGCTGAGGCAGGAGAATCACTTGAACCCAGGAGGCAGAGGTTGCAATGAGCTGAGATTGTGCCACTGCACTCCAGCCTGGAGGACAGAGCTAGACTCTGTCTCAAAAAATAAATAAATAAATAAATAAATAAATAAATAAACGTAACTGAATTTCTTTCAAATGTTTGATGCTTTTGTTCACCTGTTGATTAGACAGATATTAGACAGTTTAATCAGATAATTGAAGTTTAAAGGAAAATTTTATGATTATTTGCTCCAGTTGTGCTTCTGAATTCATATTTTTGCTTTGATTCTCAGGTCTGAAACAAAAGTCACCTGGAAAAAAGAGCAACAGGGAAGAACAAGTCTTATGACTACCACAGAAAAGATGATCCTCATAGACTATCAATATTTATATATAGTTTATATTACAATTAACCTAACTGGAGGTGACCATGGATTTATAGTTGGGGAACTAGTAAACACCTTCAAAATTTTAAGTGTATATTGACTCAAAATAATTTATTTTGGGGATGTTTAGGAGGCCAGTGAAGGAATATACTTACATCACTTGAAGAGACTGTTCCTGTTTCAACAGCAACACCGCTACCACGCAGTTTCTATTACGAAATAAATAACTCATTATTTAGTTTTGTTTTGTTTTGATTTTATCCTAATGTATCAGCTTACAAAAGGGAGCTAAGCAAATTTTTCCCCTAATTCTATGTAATAATTTTTCCCCTATAATTTTATTCCTAATCCTAGTCAATAAAAAGCAAGGGGATGACATAAAATGTTCTAAATATCGTTACGCTCTTCCAGATAATATATTTATCAGTAAGTAGCTAAAAATGGAACAATAATAAACTGACTGCTAAGCTCCAGGTAAATTTCATGGGTAAAGCCAGTGTAAATTTCCAAGTCTTGAGATTTACTTACTGAATTGTTTTTCCAGTAAGATGACTGCCTTAAATTGAACTATCCACACTATATTCTGTAGCAAAGCTTTCAAAAACAGGTGTCTGATGTCAGGAAGGTACAATATGCGACTTAGTTATCCACAGCAAAGCTAACGAATTACAATGACCAATCAAAATCTCAAATGTCATACAGAAATGACCAAAGAAAATTTAAAGACAGTCAGAGGCTGAAAGTGCAAGAGAAAAGCAATAATGAATTTCTGAAAGGAAATTTTGTATTTATTCAATAACTACTATCTGCGAAGTACAGGCATGAGTCCCCACAACCCAAGTGCAACACTCCAAACTACCCAAAAAGGCTTCAAAGGCCAATATAAGATCAAAGAACAAAACATCTGAACTTGCAACTTGGACTTTTGAAAGTTTATTTCTATTAGAATCAGGAAATTGTGGTACTTTTTGTGAGAGAGAAAAACACTTGTGATAGAAAAAAAAGAGACACTCCAGACATAGCACTATCGCATGACAATTGAGAAAAGTAGCAAGTAATATCAGAAATAATTGTTACTTTTTAAAACGAAGAGTCTGGATTTTAATCATGATAGAAGGCTACGAAGAAGTACCTGCCCGCAGCAAGAGGGACAGTGCAATGAGAGCCAAGCAGAAGCAGTAGCCAGACTAAGAAGCAAGGCCAGGCTAAGCCTGGGTACCCTGAAGAGGTCCCCTGCAGCAGAAGGACCCGCAAAGCGGAGGCACTGCACAACTTAAAGTCCACAACTTAAAGCCAAAGACTCTGTGATTAAAAGAGTGCACTAAAAAGATGCAGAAAATTCTTGAAGAGCATTTATCTATAAAAAGCTCAATTCTAATGAAAACTATTCTAGACATTGAAATATTTACTTCCACTAGTGATGAGAGAAATATTCCACCCAGTTGTTGGACATCGTCACAAGCATGGTCAATCATTCCACAAGTGACAAGTCACCTGAGAGGCACAACGTATATGTTATTCCTAGGAGGAAAAGTCTAAGGTAAAAATGCCCAAAAAGCTAGGAGCATGCCACAGCATCCATTCTTCCCTACCAATTTTCATTTTATGAATTCAGCTACAGAGCCTTATTACCACTATACCTGAAAGCTAACATTACCCCAGAATGAAGTTTTGTTTTTCTGGGGATTTTTTTGTTGTTTTCTTTTGTTTTTGAGACAAGAGTCTCATACTGTCAGGGTGGAGGGCAGTGGCGTGATAACAGCTCACTGCAGCCTCAACCTCCTCAGGCTCAAGTGATCCTCCTGCCTCAGCCTGCCGAGTAGCTGGAACTACAGGTGTGCACCACCACACCCAGCTAATTTTTCTATTTTCTGTAAAGACAGGGTTTTGCCATGTTGTCCCGGCTGATCTCAAACTCCTGGGCTCAAGCAATTGGCGTGCCTCAGCCTCCCAAAGCGCTAGGATTACAGGCATAAGCCACCACACCAGGCCTGGAATTAAGTTTATTAAAGGGGAGAGATCATTTCAAAGTAGGAAAAAAGGGAGAGGTGTATCCCATTTAACTAACATTCTGATCCCAAACGATATGCTACATTTAGAAATTTTAAATCTCACTTTCACAAGCTTGTTTCTTACGTTTTAAATAGCTTGTTTTTTAAATACCTCACAAACTCAATAAAATGGTGGCTCTTGTAAAAACACTTTTTAAAACCAAGCCCCAAACCAGTTAAAATTGATGTTATTAACATATAAAAGATTTTGATCAAGAAACTCTAAAATATCTCTATCCAAACATAAATGGCAATTAGGCTCACCTAAAAAAGACAGGCAACAAGACAAAAAGTAAATCTAAGCAAAATATGGTGTCTTTCTTATGCCTCAAACTAAAATCTGTTAATAAAGTCACCTGAAATCTAAATGGCAACTTTCAAAAAATTTCGAATAGACATTTATTTGTAATCTAACAACCTACCAATATTGTTTCTCCTGGTCCCATTCCTCCTCTAGGTCACCCTCACATCAAAATCTCATTCCCTTCTACCTTTTCATCTCCAGAATCCTCCTCCCTTGTCCACCTTCAGTTCTCTCCTCTTCTGAGTATCAAACACCACACCTCTTCATACCTACTACACTTCATCCCTGTAAGCCTGAAACTATCATTCCACAGAACCATCATTTGTGTCCTATCTTTTGCCCTATCCTGAGGAAACATGAAGACAAAATAGAAAACTTGTCATTTTCCAAGCCATCACAGCTACAGGCTATTTTCCTCCCGAAGACATAGAGCTAGAAAGGCCTGCAAGCAACCAAGATGACCAGTAGGCACGCTTCAAGTAGTTCATTAGGCCTAACTAATCCCACCCTGAAACTGGGAAATTGTGAGAACGAGCCACTGTGTGGGACACTGTCCTCTTGCAGCTGGACTGGACAGCTCCAGGCTCACCCAGGGGGAGCTGGAAGCATGGGAGGGACTCGGCCAGACAAGGACAAGCAGGTTAGCTAATAAAGATCTAGAACATGCTGTTTGCAGTTTGAAATGCCCCTGGTGGCACCCAGGACCAGTTTGTTTATTAGTGTAATCGGTTAGACAGCTTAGCCTGGTTATGTAACCAAAAGGGCATAAAAGATCTCACTCGAAACTTTCAGAGAGCTCTCCCAAAACCAAGATTTCCCGCACAAATCTTGGTGGTTCACAATCCTGGGGCAGCCGAGGGAGCTGCACCTGGAAATCTCTCGGCCGGAGGCATGCTCTCTCCTGCTGTACCGTTTCTTTTCCTTTATCGAAGCCTCACACGCACGTGCTCTTTGGAGCTGTGTGGGTCCTTTCAATTCTCCAGCCTGTATCATCTTGGCAGCCACCTAGAAGAAAGGTACTCCCTGACCCCTGAAAAGCATGAATAAGAAACCCCAAGTGGCAGAAAAGACAGAAAGGATTGAAATGAAGCCAGTCAAAGAAAGAAAAAGCAAAGCACACTACCCATATCTGACAGTAGTTTGGTTTGTCAAGTTCAAAATGGCATTATTTTAATAAAACATTTTTGTAATTTAACATATTTACTATAAATAGCTTAAAAGAACATGGATGTTATATTCCCTTCAAAGGTACTTTAAAAAAATTTCTTTTACCTGTGAACTCAGCTGAGTTTTTATCCAATTGAAATAGTAATTTAAGTCACTGCCTTCCATCAATTCTTTTCCCCAAGCTGCTAACTTGGCAATAATTCTTGCTGCCTGAAAACAAATAAGAAATACATTTGAACACAACATTAATTCTAAAAATCACATCATATACCTTAAAAAAAGGATTTGTAACAATTTTGCTACACAATTTCTTAACACTCAACCACTCTAAAAATAAGTTTATATTTCATTTTTTAAAATATATTTTGAAACAAACATTAAAAATATATTTTTAAATATTTCCATCAAAGTGAACCCAAATTAGCTGAGTCTTAGGAATTTCTTGACACTCCCTGAATTATTTTGGGTTTCAAAAGTAAGACTGGAATTCATTATATGACCAGCAAAAAACAGAACACAAAAATCTGTCTTAGAAGCAGACTGTCACCAAACCACTTGCCAGAAATCTAAACAATCTCTACAACAAACTGCCAGCCTCTCCGACACTCATTCCAAGCCACTTGGGAGTTCTAACACTTAAAAATCCATTTCTAGGCCGGGCGCGGTGGCTCAGGCCTGTAATCCCAGCACTTTGGGAGGCCGAGACGGGCGGATCACGAGGTCAGGAGATCGAGACCATCCTGGCTAACACGGTGAAACCCCGTCTCTACTAAAAAATACAAAAAATCTAGCCGGGCGGGCGCCTGTAGTCCCAGCTACTCGGGAGGCTGAGGCAGGAGAATGGCGTGAACCCGGGAGGCGGAGCTTGCAGTGAGCTGAGATCCGGCCACTGCACTCCAGCCTGGGCGACAGAGCCAGACTCCGTCTCAAAAAAAAAAAACAAAACAAACAAACAAAAAAAAAAATTCCATTTCTTAGGATAATATACATCATAGGTATTAGTCATCTCTCCCAACATAAATAAATATCCTTTCTCCTCAAAGATCTCTCCATTTTCTTCAAGCTATAAAACTAACCATTTTTTTAATTAAATAGGCAATATAAAGTACTAGTTCTCCATACACAAACCAATTTAATAAATATTCTATCAGAACTGAAAGCAAATCACTGTCTTAAAACTCCAAATCATTCAGCAATAACTCATCCCAGTAGAGAATGAAAGGCTACACTAGCTAACCTCAAAATAATTTCCCATGCTGGTAGACTCATGTTTGTTCTTACATTTGAATACAGCAAACCAGACTGACAGGTGCACTTCCAAGGTCAGAACGTTAGACACTTAAGTGTTCTGGTGTATTTGAAATTCCACAACATAGGGACTAACAGGGGCGCCTTTACTTGCTCATTGAGTTGTGACATGCTGAGGTTTTCACATGCCCAGCTAAATGAATTTATAAATTATAAATACATTATCTAGTTTAAACTCATCTTACTGTCACAAAATAGACAACTGACTTAAAAGGATTACTGTTAGGAGGCCAAGGATTGAAAATATCATCAGCAGTGCATGCACAAGACAAAGGAACAAGAGCATAAGCTAGCATAAGCTCTTTATCAGCACATGGTAAACCAATGGGAGTCTCCCTCAGAATGTGAAAGATTGGCCAAAAGTAAATGAAATCATCAAGAAGTTAACATGGATTTGGCCGCACAGTAATAATGAACCATTCCCTAAGTATATATTTGTTTAATGTATTTGTCAGTTTTGTTGTTATACCATTAGGAGGACATTTAAACCAGTGAAGACAACAAACCTCTACAATTTTAAAGAGGGAAATATATTACTGGCTTTTAAAAAAGTATTCTTTAAAATACAGTGTATTTCATCAGTCCTCCTTAATTTCTCTTTTTATAGATATTTCATAATGTCCACAACATATAAATATACTATATGAATACAATATATAACTATACCATATGAATACATATACATGTGGAAGGAGGGAGGGAGGGAGCGAGACAACATACATGCTCAAAAATGTTTCACTGCCAGTGGCCCCTGATTTGAAAACTTTTAAAAACATCTACTGAAACAAGCAGCCTCTGGAGCTACATGCCCCCCAACAGCTCCTGCCATCCCCAGCCCGTAGCCCACTTCCCAATGGAAATAGAGAACGCCTGTTTGTACAAAGGTTTATTCTCTCAACCCTGCTTTCAGACTCCACGAAAGATTCTTCAGTACTAGGGCTTCCAAACATAGCCTACGTTTAAAACAGGAATGTAGGCTGGGTGTGGTGGCTCACGCCTGTAATCCCAGCTTTCTAGGAGGCTAAGGCAGATGGATCACAAGGTCAGGAGTTCAAGACCAGCCTGGCCAACATGGTGAAACCTCGTCTCTATTAAAGATACAAAAATTAGCTGGGCGTGGTGGTGCATGCCTGTAATCCCAGCTACTGGGGAGGCTGAGGCAGAAGAATCGCTTGAACTCGGGAGACGGAGGTTGCAGTGAGCCGAGATCGCGCAACTGCACTTCAGTCTGGCAACACAGTGAGACTCCGCCTCAAAAAAAAAAAAAAAAACAAGAGTGCATTTAAGATATTGAAAAGCAATCAAGTAATTACTTAAAATAAAAATGAAACACAGTAGCTGCTTCAAAGTAAGATTTAATTTCTATATAGTAAAATGTGGTTAACCCCACTACAAACACTGTACATGTGAGAATTCTCCACAGGCTTTGATGCACTCCTTGCAGTCCACAAAACCTTAACTGCGTCAGAGCAACCCTATCTCCTTCCAACTCCCAATGTCCTTTCTCTACTGAACACCGATACAGAAAGCTAATGTCATAGTAGTTACGCCTATGGGAATGGACAGGTTACTATGTCATAAAGAGCACAGTAGTTACTCCTACGGGAACGGACATAAAAGGCCCAGGTTTCTTTCTTACCTAAATGAGAATGTAATCACAATTCTGCCAATTTTAAACAAAATTTTTTAAATAAAAACCTTTCTTCTTTGTATTTAAAAAAAAAAAAAATCCAGTTGGGGGCAGTGGCTCACACCTGTAATCCCAGCACTTTAGGAGGTCAAGGCAGGTGGATTGCTTGAGCCCTGAAGTTCAAGACCAGCCTCGGCAACATAGTGAGATCCTCTCTCCTTAAAAAAATTTTTAAAAAAGAATCCAATCAATTCAAAATTTACCATATAAACAGTAAAGGGATCCTGGCGATTCAACATTGGCAGAAAGTAGGGCCACGCAGTGTTCTTGCTACGTCTGGCGTAGTCAAAGAAAATGCTAACACGCTGATGATTTTCCTAAAAAAGAAAAGAAATGGTATCACCAATCAGAACACATTTTGCTAAAGAATGTAACAATTGTGCACCACTTCTCAACCTCCCATCAGTCTGTGTTCTTTCTTTTTTCAGTGTGTGTATGTGTGATTTGCCTGTCATTAACAGGGCAGGGGGTAGGGATGGTAGTAGGGAGAGATATTTTACTAAAAAAATCACCTTTAATGATTATGATTATTTTAAATCACAAAGTGTAAGACTACAAGTTACACTTCTCGGCCTGCACCTCTGACCTGTTACTCCCAATGTAGCAGGTCTACACCCACCACCAACACCCAAGTGTGAGCACCTGGCTGCCACACAAGGGAAATCAAAATCGGAAAGGGAGCAGGAAGAGCGCAAAGTAGGTCTAGATACACCTTGAACTACTAACAAATAGGCAAGGGAAACAGAGAATTAAATGAATCTTAAATGTTCAAGTTACTTCTTAGCATATCACGGTAGAAAACTTGGGATAAATAAAGACAGCAGAAAACAGCACATACTACCAGTGGACATAGGATCTGAGTAAGAGAAAATTCTTAGTTCCAATTATTAAAACTTCACCACTCACTTAAATTTTCTCTATCACTGGCTGAGATCCACCTTCTGGTTCATTATGTGAATACAGTTGTTAAATAGCAATACTTTTTTCAAAATTCTTTTACTACACCACCATATCAGCAATAGTAATACTTTTTCTGATTAAACTTTTATTAATGTATTTATTTATTTTATTTCCCTAGGTTACTGGGGAACAGGTGGTATTTGGTTATGTTAAGTTCTTTAGCGGTGATCTGTGGGTCTTAATACTTTTTAAAAGCACAAATAACCACATAAACAAAAAATTCCTAGTTTCAGATTAACATTTAATTATTTTTAAATATAGTGTTTTTTGTTTTTTTGTTTTTTTGGTTAATATTGGTCTACACTAATAATTACCTATTCGAGGAATAGCCTACTATCTCCTTAGGTAATGAGTCATTATTGTTTAGAATAACAATTTGAAGGAGTTGTGACAATGATTTTATCAAGGAATCCAAAATTCAGATGAGCCATCATTGCTTCATTGGTAGAGGTACCCAGATTACAGACCTTTAAGAGAATAAGGGTAAAGAAATCCTTCTGGTCAGGTACACTTAGCAACTGCTGTTGACATCCAGGCAAAGAAAACAATTTAATCCTCAAAATCATGTGCTAAAAACTAAGCATGTGAGGAAACATAAGCAATTCTGTCAAAAAGCATTTTGTTCAGAAGTGATAAGGATGAAATGATAGGATTAAAAATAGAAAAAGAAAATTATTATAAATAGCACAAGGAATTGAATGATAAAGGTATATATAAACTTCTCCATGTAACTAAAATTTTACAAATAAAATCAATTACTAAACTATAATGAGGGCCAGGTGCAGTACCTCACACCTGTAATTCTAGCACTTTGACAGGCCAAGTGGGAGGGCTGCTTGAGCCCAGGAGTTCAAGACCAGCCTGGGCAACATAGTGATACCCCATCTCTACAAAAAAATAAAAAATTAGCCAGGTGTGGTGGCACACGCTTGTAATCCCACTACTCGGGAGGCTGAGGCAGGAGGATTGCTTGAGCCCAGGAGGCAGAGGTTGCAGTGAGCCGAGATTGTGCCACTGCACTCCAGCCTGGATGACAAGAGCAAAACTCTGTCTCAAAAAAAAAAAAAGAAAGAAAGAAAGAAGAAAGAAAAGAAAGGAAGGGGGGGAGAGAGAGAATAAAACAAACTGCATCTCACCAGAAAAAAAAAAAAAGAGAGAGACAGGCCAGGCACAGTAGCTCATGCCTGTAATTCCAGCACTTTGGGAGGCAGAGGCAGGTGGATAACTTGAGGTCATGAGTTCGAGACTACCCTGACCAACATGGTGAAACCCTGTCTCTACTAAAAATACAACAAAATTAGCTGGGCAAGGTGGGGCATGCCTGTAGTCCCAGCTACTCAGGAGGCTGAGGCAGGAGACTCGTTTCAACCCAGGAGGTAGAGGCTGTAGTGAGCGGAGATCATGCCACTACACTCCAGCCTGGTCAATGAAGCGAGACTCCATCTAAAAAAAAAGAGAGAGAGTGAGTCCGGGTGCGATGGCTCACATCTGAATCCCAGAATTCTGGGAGCCAAGGCAGGGAGATTTCTTGAGGCTAGTATTTCGAGACCAGCCTGGGCCACATGGCGAAATTCCACCTCTACTAAAAATACAAAAATTAGTTGGGCACGGTGGCACAAGCCTGTAATCCCAGCTACTACTCTGGAGGCTGAGGCATGAGAATCACTTAAACTTGGGAGGTGGAGGTTGCAATCATTGCTGAGATTGCACCACTGAACTCCAGCCTGGGTAACAAAGTGAGACCAAGTATCAAAGAAAAAAAGAAGAAGAAAAAAAACGGTACTCTTGAGTGAGGAATATTATAAACCACCCAAATCCATGATATGAATAGATGAAAGAACCCCACACAGATACAAAACTACCATAAAAAGAAACCAAAAGACGCAAATCAAAATATCGCAGGTGATGAAATTTCTCTCCTCCAAAAAAATTGCAAAACAAAACTGTAACATAACTACGCAAACTGAATTAAATATCCTCAAACATCTGGAAAAATAAAATACCACCTTGAATCAGAAATTCAAAACCAAAACTGAGAAATGTGCCCCTAATAAGGGAAAATTTAAACATAGCTGATAGAACTCAGGAAAGAAATGAAAGAAAAGAGCAAAATGGTCTCAAAATTTAAAACTAAATTATACAGTGTTCAACAGAGAACAGACTCAAAAGTCAAAGAACTGTGAACCAGAGATCCTGTATCAGCCAAGCTGCTCTTTAAGATTACAGGAAAAAATTGTAATGCAAAAATTTAAAGACTACTGTACACATAAGACATTCTTGAGGAACCTACTAGCAGATAAGCTTCATCTAATCAAGAGATCCCTGGGAAAACTTCAGCAAAAGACCCAGTGGTGAAAATTTAATATAACAAAACAAAAGTGGGAACAAGGGTAGAATAATAATAAATGTTGTATGTCCTGACAAAGTAAAAAATAGCCACTAAAAATGAGAAGAGAGGAAAAGTAGAATAAATTCATTGATTGTTGCAAATCAAAAAATACTATTAAAAATGACAAATGAAATTATAAATGAATAAAACAGGGATTAACAGCATTAAAGGGATATAAATACAAAGATAACCAATAGAACACAGAAAACTTCCTAAATGCCAAAAAAGTTTAATACAAATGCAAACAAAACACATAATAAAGAATAAAATAGTAATGCACACAGTAATTATAACACAGTATGACAGTTGAGATCGAATTTCTTAGTAATATTCATAAATGTGGATGGTTTAATTCACCTATTAAAAGAAAAAGGGGTTTCAACTCACAAACAAGACCCAAATCTATACTGTATACAAAAGACTTACCTAGAACAAAATGATTCACCTAAAAAAGGGACAGGCAAATAAAGATATGCAGACAAGTAGAAACAAGAAGCCATGAGTTGCCATACCAGTATTAAAGTATAATTTAAGCCAAAATGTATTAAGTATGATAAAAGGGACACTTTTAATGATAAACACCACAATTCACTGTAAATATAACACTAATGTGTATATATGCACTACATACAGCATCCACCTTTATAAAGTGAAAACTACAAAAGATATTAGAATAGTAAAAAATGTATTTATAAGGGGGAGACGTTTAACATACCACTCTTAGTACAAAAAAAAGCAGACCAAGAAAAAAGTAGACAAAAAGTAAAGGTATAGAAAACCTGTATCCTAAATAATAACATCATCAATAAAGTAGATCTGATAAATATAAATCAAACTTACACCCCTTAAGAAAGAATACATCTTTTCAAGTACACCTGGTACATTTATAAAATTGATCATATACTAATAAAAAAAGTATCAGTAAATTCCATAAAGTAGAAATGTTTTTAAAACATAACATTTGAAATCTTTAACAAAATGTTTTAAGCATTTCTGCCTGAAAATTAAAATATAAATATTAACCCTCTGTGAAAGGGAACACAGAAACTGAATTAAGAAAATCCTAAATCACTACATATCAGAGCTGAAGGGATATGCTTTAAGCAGTAATCAAAGGAAAATGCATATATTTAAATACTTTTCTTTTGGAGGGGGGTTAGAGTTTCTCTCTTTTTGCCCAGGCAGCAGTGCAATGGCACAATCTCGTCTGACTGCAACCTCCACCTCCCAGGTTCAAGTGATTCTCCTGCCTCTCAGCCTCCCAGTAGCCGGGATTAGGCGTGCACCACCACACCTGGCTAATTTTGTATTTTCAGTTGAGAAGGGGTTTCACCATGTTGGCCAGGCTGGTCTCAAACTCTTGACCTCATGACCCACACACCTCAGACTCCCAAAGTGCTGGGATTACAGGCGTGAGCCACCATGCCCAGCCAATAATTATTTCTTCTTAATAGAAGAATTGAAATAAGTTAAAACTCCCAGTTCAAAATGCTAGAAAAAGAACAAAGTAAACAACAAAAAAGAGTAAAGGAAGAATATAATAAAGGCAAAAACAGAAATTAAGGTAGAGAACAGAAAAACTATAGATCAATTAATATGAAAATCCTGACTCTGAAAAAAATTAACAAAACGGGGGAGAAACACTAATTAATCAAGGAATAAAAAAAGCAGAAAGCACAAATAAACAAACTAAGAAATGACATGGGGACATAATATGGAAATAGAGAAAAAAAATTTGAAGCATAAGATTTAATAAGATTACAGTCTTCTATGAAAATAAATGTAAAAGCTTCAATACAATAATTCCCAGAGAAAATACAGATTACCAAAATTATCACCATTTGAGATAGAAAGCCTCAAATGACCAATTTCTGTAGAAGACATAGAGAAAGCTATCAAATAATTACCCCACCAAAAACAACAGGTTCAGATGTATTCACAAGGGAATTTTGCCCAAACTTAGAGCTTGCAGTGCTAATGCTAAATATATTGTTGCAAAGTATAGCAAATAAAGAAAAACTGCCAAATCCTTTTTATCAAGCAAGTATAATGCTGATACATAACCAAATGAAGAAAACAAAAAATAAAATAAAATTATAAACCAATTACACATATGTACACTGAGGCAAAAATCCTAAATAACAGAAAAGAAAATTCAATATCATATCAAGAAAATAAGACACATGACCAAGTGGGATTTAACCTCAAATGCAAGGTTGGTTCAGTATTATAAAATCCATTACTATAATTCACCATATTGATATATCTAAGGAGAGGGAAAAAAAGTCACTCAATTATCTATGTAGATACCCAGAAAATAATAGCCTTTGACAAAACTCAACACCTATTCTTAATAATAGCACTCAAAAACTAAGAATTGACAACTTATTATAACCCATAAGAATTAAAAAAGTAAAATTATCTGTTTTATATCCCATAAGAATTGAAAAAGAAGTAAAATTATGTTTTTGCAAAAACAGATAATTATAAAATTTTAATTAAAATTTTTTAATTAAAATGTTATAAATTTATAATTCACAAATTTTATAAATTAGAGAAAAATTCAATCACAAAATTAATTCAAATAAAAGAATTCACTAAGGTACCAAAACAGAAAATATACGGAGATCAATGACTTTCATATACATTAACAAACAAGAGTTCAGAGATAAAATGGAAGAGAAATGCTGTTTTTAACAGTAATAATTAAGATAAAATATTAAGGTATAAACTTAACAAGAAATGTTGCAAAACCATTATGTGAAAATTACAACACTCCTGAAGACACAGACACACCTAACAAATGGAAAGGCATACCTTGTCCTTGGACAGAAAAATTCAGTAATATAATGATGTCATTTCTCCCTAAGTTAACTTATAAATTTATTATTAGTTTTTTAAATAGAGACAGGGTCTCACTATGTTGCCCAGGCTGGTTTCAAACTCCTGGCTTCAAGCGATCCTCCCACCTCAGCCTCCCAAGGTGCTAGGATTACAAGCACGAGCCAGTGCCAGGCCTTGTTTTGATTTTTTTTTTTAATAGTAACTTAAAGATTTAACACAACTTAGTAAAAATGCCAACAAACTTTTTCATAGATCAAATAACCTGACATTCCATTTCATATAAAAAAAAAAAACAACATTCAAGAATACCTAGGTAAATACTGGGGGGAAAAAAAACTGCAAAGGGAACTAGCTATAAGATCCTCTATCATTAAACTGGGTGGTGCTGGAACATGAATACACAGGCATTCCAGAAGCAAAGTATAAAAAGTACAGAAATAAACCTAGTTATATCGGGAGGTTTAATGTTAAAGGCAGCATCTCCAACCACTATGGCAACGACTGAAAATTTAATAAATGGTCAACTGAATGGCCATTTGGAAAACATAAAATTAGACACATACCTCTATAGACAAGAACCAACTCTAAGCAGGCCAAATGTCTAACTAAAGATGAAACTATACACGTACTAGAAAAAAACCTTGGTGAATTCCACTGTAAACTCGGGTATAAGGAAAAGCTTTCTATTACTCAAAATCTAGATTTAAAAAAATCTGATAAATTAGACTACATAAAAAATAAAAATAAATTGTGTCACCCTGTGAAAAATGTTATAAGCTAAGACAAAAAGGGAAATAACAAACTGGGAGAAAATATTTGCACTTTGTATCAGAGATATATGACTAATATATAAAGAACTCTTAAAAATAAAATGGGCAAAGACATGAGCAAATAATTCAGGGAAAAAAATGTAAAAGCAACCTTTAAGGTCATCTGAAGATGTTCAACCTTGGACATCATTCTGACAGGCAAAAATGTAACAGCTTGACAATGCCCTCTGTTGAGAAGGTTACAGGGAACCAGGCACTCACACCCTGCTGATGAGAATGCAAAATGGAACATCTAGCAATATCTTAACAAAACTATATATGGAGTTCCCTCTTACCCAGCAATCCCATTTCTAAGAATTTACCATGAAATATACACCCAACACAAAAATATATTTGCACAAGGTTATTCTTTGATTCATGATTTCTAATTCTAAAATTTGGAACCAATCACAATGTCCATCATTACATCAGAGGCTGAGTAAACTATGGTACATCTACTAATGGGGTACCACGTAGTGGTCAAAAACAGAACAGGGAGATGAGATCTCTATGAACTGACATGTAATGATTTCTGGCATATTCTGTTAAGTTTTAAACAAGCAAAAAATAAGAGACTATACCTAATAAGTGTTTTATAGAAATAAGGGGGGAAATAAGAAAATATACATGGGTCTGCTTGTCTATGTTCACAGAAAAAAATCAAAAACCAATGATATTGGGCTAAGCACAGTGGCTCACACCTGTAATCCCAGCACTTTGGGAGGCCGAGGCAGGCAGATCACTTAAGGTAAGGAGTTCAAGACCACCTTGGCCAACTTGGTGAAACCCCGTCTCTACTAAAAAAAAAATACAAAAATTAGCCAGGCATGGTGCCGGATGCCTGTATCCCAGCTATTCGGGAGGCAGAGGCAGGAGAATTGCTTGAACCCAGGAGGCAGAGGTTGAGGTGAGCCAGGGTTGCGCCACTGCGGTCCAGCCTAGGCAACAGGACGGAATTCTGTCTCAAAAAAAAAAAAAAAAAAAACAATGATATTGCTGACCTACGAGAGGGAGGTGGGAATGGGCTAGGATTAGTGACATTTCTCTAAGTATATCTTTCTGTATAGTTTTGACTTTTGGAAACACGTTAATGTTTTACATACTCAAAAATAAAAAACAGGTTGGGCATGGTGGCTCACACCTGTAATCCCAGCACTTTGGGAGGCCGAGGTGGGCAGATTTACCTAAGGTCGGGAGTTTTGAGACCAGCCTGGCCAACATGGTGAAACCTCATCTCTACTAAAAATACAAAAATTATCCAGGCGTGGTGACAGGCACCTATAATCCCAGCTTCTCGGGAGGCTGAGTCAGGAGAATCACTTGAACCTGGGGGGCAGAGGTTGCAGCAAGCCGAGATCACACCACTACACTCCAGCCTGGGTAACAGAGCAAGATCCTGTCTCAAAAAAATAAAAGTAATAAAAATAATAATAATGAAATGCACAAGGATGAGGAAAAAACTAAAATAGAATACAACGGAAATGACTCTTACAGTATTTCATGAAAAATACTCACTCTGAAACTTGAACATGGTATTCTGACTATATACCGAGTTTAAAATAAAAAACTGCAAATACTGAACGCTAGGTAAAAGGCTTGTTTTTCGTGTGTACGTGTTTTTTTCAACTCTTATTTTAGGTTCAGGGGTACATGTGCTGGTGTGTTGTATCGGTAAACTCATGTCAAGAGGGTATGTTGTACAGATTATTTCATAATCCAGGTACTAAGCCCAGTACCCAATAGTTATTTTTTTCTGATCCTCTCCCTCCTCCCACTCTCCACCCTTGAGTAGACCCCAGTGTCTGCAGTTCCCCTCTTTGTGTCCATGTGTTCTCATTGTTTAGCTCCCACTTATAATTGAGAACGTGCGGTATTTGGTTTTCAGTTCCTGTGTTAGTTTACTAGTTTAGCTGGAGGATAAAGACCTCCAGCTCCATCCATGTTCCTGCAAAGGACGTGCTCTCATTCTGTTTTATGGCTGTATAGTATTCCATGGAGTATATGTACGTTTTCTTTATCCAATCTGCCACTGATGGGCATTTAGATTGATTCCATGTCTTTGCTAATGTGAATGGCACTGCAACGAACAAACACAAGCATATGTCTTTACAGTAGGACGATTTCTCTTCCTTTGAGTATCCACCCAACAATGGGATTGCTGGGTCAAATGGTAGTTCTGTTTCTAGCTCTTTGAAGAATCACCACACTGCTTTTCCTCAATGATTGAGTTGTATGGGTCCACAACTCTGAAACTATTTTCTGGTATTTTAGGGTAGAACAAACAAGTAAACACACTGAGATTAAGGAACTCACAATCTCACTGTTACAGAAGAGGTACACATATGGAAAAGAGAGACAAAGAACCCTGTGGTGCCACGCGGAAATGTAATGGGAGCTACCAGTATGTCATGGTGTTAATTTATAGATAAGAACATATGGACAGTACCTGAGGATATGAGCAACCAGAAAACAGAAACTGTATGCAACTGGAAACGTTTTCCATGATAAGCAAAACTGTTCCCAAAAGGAACAAAAGCACCGAACCTCCAGGGCCCAGCACTGGCCTAGAACATATGAGCACTGAAATGTGTTGACTGATTGAACGAGAAGAAGTTGTATCATCCGTAAGTACACAGAGAGTCCAGAAAGCCTCAGGTGATACAGCAAGCTTTGCTGGCATTCAACAAAAAACTCTGAGGTATCCGGGAAAAACATATATACTGATTACTTGGTATTCTGAAAAATAAAAATAGCCTGTGTGTGGGTATCTCTGTCTTTAGCTCTATTAGCAAATTACAACCCACATAAATAAGAAAAATATATTATTATACTCTAGAAATTACAACCCACATAAATAAGAAAAATATATTATTATACTCTAGAAGAAAACCAATGTTGTAAGTGAAATCTCACCAAAAATGTTGCTACTGTGAGGTACGCAAAAAAATGAAGTCACCAATGTGTTAAGTAAAGAATATACCTACCTGCAGCATATCATCCACCATAGTCAGTATATACTGAACCGTCTGTTCTTTGCAGATATGAGTCATCAGATTTATAAATGTTTTAGCACACTAAAAAATAATGAAATTAAGGTTATTGTTTTTATTTGCAAATACAACATTTCAATGGAACTTCAGTAAAACATTGTTTCTCTTTCATAAATTAGAATATAAATACTATTAACTAAAAAATTTTACTTACAGAAAACATATACCTCTTAGAAATATTGTGATGAAGTATGGAAGACCTTACTAGACTTGCATCAGCTTGTTAACATTTCTAGTGATAAGTTTCAGAATGTTTACTATATTTAAATAGATACACTGAGCCACTAATAACTCTTGATTACCAATGACAGCATAAAGTTATATAGGCAATCAAAAATTACAACTGGTTTTGAGTATTTTATTTGTTGTACTTAAAGGGAACAGAACACAAGAGCAACAAAAGTACGGGAGATTGGAATCAGAAGGCCCTGACTAGTCTCCATTCTATAGCGTATCAACTACATGACAACCTCTCCTTAATTAAATAAAAACTGGAGCCAACAATGTATTACCTACCAACTTCCCCAGGATTGTTGTAAGAATCAGACCAATTTGTATATGGACTCCTTTAGCCAGTGAGGCCTCCCTGATAGGCAGCAGAATTGGACCTTATTATGGGGCCAGGCTCTAAACTCAGCATATAAATCAAATAGGGTACAAATCAAAACACTCTATAAAATCCCTTAAATCACTCCCCAAAAAACATAGTTTTAAGTACTCAACATCATTCAGTAATAGGTTTGGAGTCATACATTGAAAAACTTCCCTACCCTAAGGATGTATAAATTAAAGTGTATTTCACTTGGTATTCATTCATTCATTCATTCAATAAATCCCCAATGTAACAAACAGTATGTGATAAAAATCATGCTATAAAAAAATAGAGACCTTATCAAAATCATACTCATCCTACAACTTACGCCTATCTATGAAACATGTCCTCCAGGGATAGACAGCCCACTCACCATACTGAATATAAAAAGTTAACAGTAACAAATAATTGGGTTTTTTAATCAAAACATTAAAGTGGAAACACTTTAACCTCTTTAAGCAAAAATAAAACAAAAAGATGTAAGTTGCCCAAGGTATTACTGTCAGAACTCTTTTCAGATATACTGCCATTTTGTTAGGATACTTCCTGGCAACTGCCGTATAAAAGGCCCATCACACCAGACACTGCTATTAAGAAAGAACTGTTTTTGTACACTTACTAAGAAACAAGTTTAAAAAAAAATGAGGGGAAAAAAAAAAAAAAGAAAGGGCTGTTTTAACTCCTAACTCCTTAAGGGAAAAGTCTTGTGTTATGAACATACATCCCCAGTCTCACCAGGCACATGGCAGGGACTCAGTGTGCATGTGCTCAACAAACAGTGAATGAGCTGCATGTTCCATTACACATGCAGTTGCGGTGGGGAAGCTTTTTCAAAGGATGACACCAAGAGCAGACATCACAAAAGAAAGGAAGAACTAGATTTCATTGTACAATGTAAACTTCAATATGGCAAAGAGCCCCATAAACCAAGTTAAAAATTCAACAAACAAGCTGAGGAAATATGGCATGCACAAAGCTGGTACACTTAAAACACAAAGGAATCTGACAAATCAGTAAGATTCATAAACACTTCCATAGAAAAGTAAATAAAAAACATAGAGCCATGTGTCACTTAACAATGGGGAAAGTTCTGAGAAATTCATCATTAGGCAATTTCCTTGTTGTGTGAACATCCTAGAGTGTACTTACACAAACCCAGATGGTAGTGTCTACTACAAACCTAGGCTATATGGTAGAACCCATGGCTCCACACCTGTACGGTATGTAACTATCCTGAATACTATAGGCAACTGTAACATAATGGTAAGTATTCTTGTGTCTAAACATAGTTAAACATAGAAAACGTGCAGTAAAAACATGGTAGTATAATCTTACAAGACCACTGTTGCATGCACAGTTCGACACTTACCAAAACATCCAAAACATCGTTATGTGGTCAGTGCATGACAGTATAGAAGCAATTGATATGGATACAAAAGGTGCCAAAAACCATCTGAAAATGTGTAACACTATTACGTTAAGACACTACCTTTTACCTATCGAAATGACCAAAAAATGAAAGGCTAGACCCAGAGTGGGTGCTGGAGCAGGGGCACGGGCCCTCTCACATACTGCTGGCAGGATCTGCAAAGTGGTACAATCTATCAAGAGGGCATTTTCATTATATCCAAACTCTCACATGCTCAAATAGTTTAATCAATAATTACACCTTTTTTTTTTTTTTTTTGTATTTTTAGTAGAGACGAAGTTTTACCATGTTGGCCAGGCTGTTTTCGAACTCCTGACCTCAAGTGATCTGCCCGCTTCAGTCTCCCAAAGTGCTGGGATTACAGGTGTGAGCCACTGCACCCAGCCAGATAATTGCACTTCTCAAATTAATTAAAAAGAGATTACTAACTATTCATCTCAAAACAGAAAAAAAAAAGGAAGCCAAAATATGCAACAGTATAGAATTAGTTTAGATCACGATGGTTTATCCATTAAATGGAAAATTACACAATGGAACTTTCCATAAATGGGACATAATAATAAATTAATTATTTTAAATACCACAGAAATATCTTTACAGGCATGGTAGGAGAGGGAAGAATATACAATCAAATGAAAAGAATAAAGATATGTACATATCACCCCTTTTTGTAAAAAGTTCACATTTATAGAAATAAGTGTGTAAGTTATTTTACACACAGAAAAATATTTAGAGAGGTATACACTAAATGTTAACAAGCCACCTTGAACAGAGCAATATTAAGTAGAATAACTTTTTTCTTTTGCTTAATAGTATTTTATTTTTCTACAATAAACTTACCATGAAAGAAGGTAAAACATCAACATATGTAACTAAACATTTTAAACTACTATATAAAAAAATACTCCACAACACTTCAAAGATACATAGTAAAAAAGGAACTATGTTTGCTATAAATGTGGCAAACAGTAATAGATTTTGATGTAAAAAGACTGTTTATCAAAAAGTAACAAAACCTTATAGATTAAAATAAAAAGAATGCCCACCCAAAAACATTTTCAAAGGACATAAAATACTTAATAAATCAATGGGAAAATAACGTAATCCCATGTCATCAAAGTGATATCCCTTTTAACTTAGCAAATTCAAAGATTTTCAATTATATTAGGTATTTCAAACATTACCAGTAAGAATCCCAAGTGGAAAAAAATCCCTAAAAAAAGTTAAGCAACTTTTAAAACTTAATATACTCTGAAACAGTAATTTCCTTTCCAGAAATCTGCCTTCTATGTGTATATGCTAACAAAATATTCAGAAATACAGAAAAGGATGAAGGTAAACATACTCAATATAACGTTTTTTTCCAAATTAACAAAAAAACTGGAAGTCACTTATAATCACTAAGATTTTTCTAAACTTTTGGATGACACGGGGAAGTATTCATTATATAATGTTTATTGATCACCTGGCTGCCTTCAGTTTGAAGCATCTCTTGCTTCTCTTCAGGGCTTCGTTTCATTTCAAACCTCTGAATAAACTCACAATCTTCAGCAGAAATCATCTGTCCCCTAGAAAGTAAGAATAAGATGTTTCGTTCAGTAAGAGATCAATATGTAAGCAAGTGATAGAGGAACTTTCAGTCTTTCTCTTCTCTCCTTGGCAGCAAACCACAAGGGCTGACGCAATGGCCCTGGCATCAGACAGACTTGGATTCAATGCTTAGTTTCACCACAAATAAGACAGTGTGAACTCTCTGGAACCTGAATTAATTTATCCGCAAAATGCGAACAACAATCACATTGCCTCTAAGGGGCTGTATTGAGGATAAAATTATATTCACATAAGGTGGTTAGTAGCATGTGGCAAATAGTAGGCACTCAGTAAAATGTCACCTCTCAGCATTACCCAGTGTCTCACCCTTATTCCCCCTCTCAAGCCAAACAACTGACATGGCTATCTAATTTATCAAGTTCAAAGCCACTTTATATGAATTTCTATGGCCATTTTTCTCTAGTATATTCTTTCCCTCCAGACGGGGGGGAAAAAAAAAAAAAACTGATTTTCCTCCTCTCTGGAAAATAACTCTCCATCCTGACCCCACACTCTCCTATTTTCCTCCATCTCTTCCAGGGGTCACTTCATCACTGGCTCTTCACCCTTCAAGGCTCCTCCCCAGCACTCAATCACTGAACTCTTGCTTTTGATTTCCAAACTCCTTCCTGTGAGAGATTCAATCAAGAGTCCCATCTTCCCTCCCTCCCAATCATCTCCACTGTCTTCTACCTCCAGAGACAGTCTTACCATTTTCAAATTCAGCATCATCTTCCTGTCATCTTCCCTGTCATCCCCAGTGAAGATGATATCCTGCTGTCATCTTCCCCAGTGGTGATGATGCTGAATTTGAAAATGGTAAGACTATCTCTGGAGGTAGAAGAAACACAGCTCAACCTTCCCAACTTCTCCACTCCTCAGGGACTCAAACTACCATAGGCAAACCCCCATCCTAATCTCTAAATACAAACCCTTCCTTGTCTAAAAGCTGTGTCAGCAGAACAGCCTTGCTAGCCCCCCGTAAGACTCTGGGCACTGCACGATTCATTCAAGTCAACTCCTTTAAGCCACCAGTGTGGTAGGAAAAGCACAGCATTTGAGTCAATATGGGGAAGAGCTCCAGTTCCAGGCGCGAAAGCTTAGCAAGTCACTATACATCTGACCACTATTCACACCAGTAAAACAGCAACTATGAAACTATCTGCCCCAGTCCACTAGGTGGTTATGCAGATTAAATGAAAAAATATAAGAAAAAGCACTTGCTGTATATTAGAACATGGGTAAGAGCAAGTGTAAAGTTAAAAACTTTTGTAACATATTTTCCTGTTGAAACACCAATATAGTTTTTTTGGTTTTTTGTTTGTTTGTTTTTGAGATGGAGTCTCACTCTGTTGTCAGGCTGGAGTGCAGTGGCGCAATCTCAGCTCACTGCAACCTCCGCCTCCTGGGTTCAAGCCATTCTCCTGCCTCAGCCTCCCGAGTGGCTGGGACTACAGGCTCATGCCACCAAGCCCAGCTAATTTTTGTATTTTTAGCAGAAACGGGGTTTCACCATATTGGCCAGGCTGCTCTCGAACTCCTGATCTCGTGATCCACCTGCCTCAGCCTCCCAAAGTGCTGGGATTGCAGGTGTGAGCCACTGCACCCGACCCCAATATAGTTTTTAACTCAGTAGTTTAAAAAATTGTCCCTCCTCTCCTTAGCCCAAATATTTTGAGCGACTGGTACTCTATGAAACCCATTCAGAGAAACACTGAATGTAAAGCAGGTTCCCGCTATGCACAGTTAGGCTGGGTGCAGTGGCTCATGCCTGTAATCCCAGCACTTTGAGAGGCCAAGATGGGGGGATCCCTTGAACACAGGAGTTTAAGACAAGCCTGGGCAAAACAGTGAGATCCTCATCTCTACAAAAAATAAAGTAACAAAATAAGTTGGGTGTGGTGGCACACTCCTGTAGTACCAGCTACTTGGGAGGCTGGGGCAGGAGGATCACTTGAGCCCAGAAGGCAGAAGTTGCAGTGAGCTGAAATTATATCACTGCACTCCAGTTTGGGTGACACAGTGAGACCCTGTCTCAAAAAAAAAAAAAAGCATAGTTATAGAAGGATGGCCCACTTCCAGAGCTGCCTTGGGTCAGGCTCCCAGCGCTGAGCCCTGAGATGAAGATTCACGTACAAGTGACTTATGAAAGAAGAGCCCCCAGGAGAGGCCAGGGAAAGCATGGAGGGCACAGGACACTGAAGCAAAAAAAACTCAGCAGGATTCAAGCAAAGAACCCAGGATAGCTTTCCCTGAGCCCACAGGAGAGCCTGGTAAGGTGAGGCACTCAGAACTGTTCCCTCCCCAAGAAAAGGGACCTGAACTTGCACATGTCCTGCTACTTCTACCCTTAATCCCACCCTCTTCCAAAGAAGACCTTGATTATTACACATTCAAAAATCTATCAGTGTCCCTTCTGGGTTTTGTACACACCACTGCTATATGCCAAATTGTTTTGTATAGTTCAAATTTGCTTCCGGACTTTATACTTCACTGTTCTGTCCTCTTATATCAATTTCACAGTTTTAAGCACTGTAACTTTGTTTTCACACATGCTTATATTTTAACATTTTTAAACTATTCTCAAGCATTTGTTTTTTTCAACAATTTCTTAATTACCAACCCAAAGGAGAATTTTGTCTTTCTAGATCTCTCTGAGGCAGGTGATACTATGACTATGTCTTGACACTCTCTTCCTTAGCTTCCAGATTCTTCGCATCCCACTGAAGTCACTCATCTTCACTGCCCCCTGCACCTCAGCTACTATGAAACGCTCTCCTCATTTCTCACTCCACCTCCTGCACTGAACTCTGGCACGATCTCCCCCAGTCCCCACTCATCTCCTCCCACAGATGGCAGAGGCACTCCAGACCCTACAGGCACAGAACTGAGATTGTTAATCCCAACGGCTAGAAGTTGGAAGCAAAAATAGACATTTTGCCCACTTTCCATTCTGCCTAAGCACTTCACATACCAGTCAGGGAAAAAAGCACTCTGCACCCTGGGGTAGACTAAGATAACAAGGTCATCCAGTCTAGATCTGGCCCCAAAATAAATGAAATGTTGAGCATACCCATAACCCAGAACTCCCCAGATGAAAGCAATTTTACCCCTACATTTTGCTATGCTGATATGTAAAGAGATGTCACAACCTCTGTGAAGAAAATCATGTCAAAAGGTGGTGGTTTTTCTACCATGAAGAAGGTATACCATGAAGGCTACACTTGGTAACCTTATAATTTTGCAGCTTTCTTTTCCATTTAAATAACTGTTTCTTATTTGTCAAGCCACTCGCTAACCTTCTTCTTTCCTTGTTTAAGTTATTTTCTCTCTGGGTCTTCCTTTGACATTTCCATAATCCAGCAGGTTCGGGGCTCTGGTGTCTTCTATAATGACCCACAGCTAATCAGGCACCAGATCTAAGAATCTTCCCCTTAAAACTACTCTCCTCTCTACTTCCCTGCCTCTGAAGTAGCTCAGCACTAGGACAACCTTCCACCAGTGGATTTCCCTGCTTCCAATCCAACCTTCTTCAAAACCATCTTCTTACCTACTACCAGGGGGCCTTCTCAAGTATATATGGGGTCATATTATTCCCTTTGGACTGTGAGTTCTACCTAGCACTTAGGCAGAGGCATTCAGTAAAAATATTTAAAGTCAATTGATTAATTAAAACCTATATAATCATGCACGTGTTACTTAACCTATCTGAACAGTTATCTACTTATCTTTAAAAGAGAATAGAACAGAAGCCAGCATGGTGGCTCACGCCTGTAATCCCAGCACTTTGGGAGACCGAGCTGGATGGATCACCTGAGGTCAGGAGTTCGAGACCAGCCTGGCCAACATAGTGAAACTCTGTCTCTACTAAAAATACAAAAATTAGCCGGGTGTGGTGGCAGGTGCCTGTAATCCCAGCTACTCGGGAGGCTGAGGCAGGAGAATCACTTGAACCCGAGAGGCGGAGGTTGCAGTTAGCCGAGAACGCGTCATTATACTCCAGCCTGGGTGACAAGAGTGAAACTCCGTTTCAAAAAAAAAAGAGAGAATAGGATAGAAAAACCTATGTCACTGTATTTCTATGAAAATGTTAAATAGGATGTTAGTGACCAAGCATGTTACATCCTTTTCCAAATACTCATCTCCACCAATTCCTGATAAGCACAATACTCCATTCATAATTTAGTCAACTAATATTAACTGGCAGCCTGCTACGTGCCAGGCACCTTTAAGAACAGTTGACACAGCAATAAATTAGAGACCCCTCTTTTGAGCCTGCACTCCAGTGAGGAAAACAGAAAATACGCAAATACAAAAACAAATAATCTTGAAAACACACACACACATTATAATGCTGAGGCTGTAAATGCTATGAAAAAAAAAAACCAGTCCAGGTAGAGGGTTTGTGAGATCGCCTATGCAGTCACACGAATCAAGTGAGTGAAGAGACCAAAGAATCTAAGGGTGGAACTTCTGGAGAGACAGACACACAGGTCCAAGGAGCTGAAGTTTGCTATGTGAGGAAGATCAAGAAGGCGGGAGCTAGAGAGCTGTGAGTGAGGCGGCATGATCAGACCTGTATTTTTTTGAAATCACTCTTGCAGTTCTGTGAAGAATTGCTCCTACTGAGGCAGCAAGGATAGCAGAGAGAGAGAGCAGGCAACAGGCAATAACAACAGAGCACATGCGAGGGGAACACAACAGGCACAAGGCAGGAGCTGCAGACAAAGGGGTATACTCAGATTCGAGGAATCTTTTGGACACAGAGCTGGAAGAATGTGTTGATGGGTTGAACATGGACTGTGAACAAAAGGGAAGAAACAAGGATGGCCCCAAGGTTTCTGGCCTCCAAAGCTGGTAAGTAAAGAAGCCTGGAGAGAGCCACACTGAACCACCTGAAACTCCTAAGCACTGCATGTCTTCCCAGGCCTCAGCTCCCTGCCTGGACTTCCCTTCCTGGATAACTCCAGCTGTTTTTCGGCCTGGACAACTCCTGTTACTGTCTTTTTTTTTTTTTTTTTTTTGAGTCAGAGTCTTGCTCTGTTGCCCACACTGGAGTGCAGTGGTGTGACTTTGGCTCACTGCAACCTCCGCCTCCTGGGTTCAAGCGATTCTCCTGCCTCAGCCTCCCAAGCAGCTGGGATTACAGGCACCTGCCACCACACCTGGCTAATTTTTTTGTATTTTTAGTAGAGACGAGGTTTCACTGTGTTGGCCAGGCTGGTCTCAAACTCCTGATCTCAGATGATCCACCCACCTTGGCCCCCCAAAGGGCTGGGATTACAGGTGTCAGCCACTGTGCCTGGCCTCCTGTGAGTGTCTTTATGCCTGAGTGTCTGAGAAAACTCCCCTAATACTCCCAGAATTTATTAGCTCCCACTTTTTGCTGTGTATTTCCTTTTGTTGTAAATATATATACTTTATATATTTCTCTCTTAACATTTAGCACAATTTGTTATTTAATGTGCTAAAAGTCTGTTTCCTTATGAGATTTAAACTCATGAGCAAGGATGGTATTTTATAATTCTTGTATCCTCAAGGTATAGTTTTACCAGATTCCAGTTTGACTAGAACACAGCCATACACATTCATTTATGTACCATCTATTTATTAAGAAAAAGTTTAATCAAATATAAATGCATGTTTCAAATATTGTATTTTCATAATAATATGTTAATTTGTGAAGGGCAAAAGTATATTGGGCTCTCGACACTGGGGGATGCTTCCACAGGTCTTATTATTTCAGTATAGACTGTGATAGAAGATTCACTGATTCTCCCTGTGTTGGTTCCAGCCCCCAACAATCTGTAAGCTCTTTTACGAGAGACACATTTCACACCCACTAGTGCTCACACGTCAACAGGCTCAACAGGCCCACAGTTAACACTTGGCGAACACTTGCCCACAGACCTACAGGGTGAGGGGTTTTACAAAAGAAATTTGTGAGATGGACAACAGAACAAAAGACAGATACATAGGAAAAACGGAAAATACAACATAAGTCATAGACCATGGGTAATGAAGAACAGAAATAAACCAATTTTAAAAACTCCATGTAACTAAAAACATTCCAAACACCAATGTTGGGGGAGCTCTGGCCAGTCCACCAGTGCTTTATGATCAACAATATTATTCTATGTAGGCTATAAGCAGACCCAGACTTTATAAACATAAAACTCCCTGTCCTCTAGTCTAAATGCACTCTGGACTAAATAAATTAAGAAACAGAGCTCAGAATCCTAATTTCACAGGGAATTTAAACAATTACACAGACGGTGATGAACAGAGAAAACATCAGTAAGTCTCCCCCATTCCTGTCCTTCAGTCAGCGGCCCCACAATAACCCAGTTCCTTAAAGTAGGAATCTAGAAGTCATCCGAGACTTCTCTTTCACCCCCACACATCAAATCAATCACTAAGACTCTCAAATCTATCCAGTTCTGTCTATTCCAATACCTTAATTACTCTAGGCTTATCACCTACAAACTCAACTCACCCTTTATGCTGCTGGTAGAACAATTCAATCAAGAGGCAGATATGGTCTTCTAACTCCCAGCTACAAGATTCATTGGTTTCCAACACCTACAGCTCCTTGGAAAATGGTGAATTATCTCAAAAAGAGGGCTCTGGGACACACACTCCTACCTGCATTCTATCATTTTCATCTGTTTTACATGCTGACTTCACATCAATCATGGGTTTCACAGCTTAAAAATCAGCTTGAAAAGCACTGACTGACAGGATCAAGTCCAAACTCCTTCCAACCACACACCCACACACAGCACCTTCATGATCGGCCGCTGGCTGCCTCTCTAGCCTCAGCTCTCTGCATTGCTTGCCTCCAAAACATGTATGACTCCCACCCAGTGTGCTGTTTTTGCTTCCCTGCCTTTGCTCCCAGTATCTGTTCTATTCCCAAGGCTGCTCCTACTTGCCACATGGCTAAACACCTGTCATCCTCAAACACTCAGTTCAGGGACCAGCCCCTTCAGGAAAATTTCCAGGGGGTAGAATTAGTTGTCTTTTTTATGTGCACTTGCCAGTCCCTGTGGATCTTTCTATTACCGCAGTTAACACTGAATTAGGGCCGGGCGCGGTGGCTCACACCTGTAATCCCAGCACTTTGGGAGACGAAGGTGGGGCAGATCACGAGGTCAGGAGTTTGAGACCAGCCTGACCAACATGGTGAAACCCCGTCTCTACTAAAAATACAAAAAAATTAGGCAGGCGAGGTGTCTGGTGCCTGTAATCCCAGCTACTCAGGAGACTGAGGAAGGAGAATCACTTGAATCCGGGAGGCAGAGGATGCAGTGAGCCAAGACCACCCCACTCCAGCCTGGGCAACAGAGCGAGACTCCATCTCAAAAACAGAAAAAAAAATACTGAATTAAAATGATCCATTAATATATCTGACTTCCCTACTAGAGCTTTAGTTCCTCTAGGGATAGCACTCTATATAGAACTTTTGTAGCCTCAAAGCCTGGAAAAATGCCTCAAACTTGGTAGGTAATCAATAAATGTTTGATAAGTGATTAAATTAACAGAAATTAAAGGATCATTTTTGTACATTATATATCCCTCCTGCAACAATACAAACTATTAATACTAATATAAAATTAACACTAATATAAAACTACAGATTCCTCAATCTGTTTTTCAAAATGCATATGCAAATCTGAACTGAATTCCTTGGTAACTCAGTTATAAATATACCAAAATAAATATGAAGTCAATAAAATATGGTCAAGAATACATGAATGCTCACTTTACAGATAAATACAAACTACTGAAACACCAGCACATTAAATATTAACACACGAAAGAAAGAAGGGGGAACTAAAACTTATTGTATTCAACATACTAATGCTTGTATTCTACTGTGCTAATACTTTAAATACATTATTTCAGCAACAAGCCTGTGGGGTGTGTCTCCCCATTTCACATTTTACTTTATTGAGCCTCAGAGAAGTGATTTGCTTAAGATCACCAAACTAATATCAAGAACCAAAACTCAAACCTAGGCCTCTCAACTCAAATATGTATGCTTCTTACTAGTTGTATGCATCACTCTAAAAAGGCCACCTGCCCCCATGCTGATTGCCAGGGCATGTAAGACCAGTCTAACAGGTTTTGCCCCTTATCCCCTTCCTCCCCCCATAGCCCAAGGACATTCCTCCTATGTTTCCCACTCATTCAAAAAGTACTTCCCCAGGCAGTCAGGGAAGGTCAAAAGCACTATGAGCAGCTCTGCTTCCCCACAACGGCGCCAGGCTGTTTCCACCCCACTACACTTAACTCCCCAAGACAGCTAATTATTCTGAGGAGGAAGTGTTTCTTCCATATTTATCAGTATTTTCCCAGCATTTCTCTCATAGAAGCATGACCATGAAAAAGTCTGATACAAAAGCATATGACTGTCCATGATTCACAGTAAATTGGTACTTACTGAAGATAGGATTGCCAGTTCACTTTGTTTGCACGAACTTCTGCAGCCTTGGCAGCAATAATGTTGGTTGGGACAGCAGCATCCACAGCACCTCTGATATCCATTTTGGTCATCTAAACTTCGTAATCTTGAATGTCTTTCAACAAATCTTCAATTTAGATGCAAAGTAAAATCAGAATACTAGGTGTTTCTTTTTCTTACAACTATTGTTATTGTGACTATGAATATCATGATCACTTTAATCTCCCCAGGCATTCAACTCAAAATATTAAATGTCCTAAGTCTGAAAGTATCATTATATTTCAAATCTTGTCCACTGCTCCATAAAAGAGTTCTTTAGGCTTTTGCTTTTCTACAAAAAATTTTTTCATTATTGGCACTAACATTGCAGTAAGATATTTAAAGTAATCACTTAATAAACTGAAATCAGAAATCAGGATTAAATAGAATAGGTATAAATATGGGAAAAGCTGTAAATTTATACAATTGTGGTTAACTTTTCTCAAAGAGAAACAATAAAAATATGAATAGTACAGATAAGACTAGCTACCTTATAAACATTTACTAAGCATCATTTTGAAGTGGCACATTAAAAATTCTGAATTCTTTCGAAAATTACTCAAATTAAAATAAAGTAAGAACGTAACTTCTTAGAAGACAATGTTTTCCTTTTCAAATAAAATTCATAGTATTTACAAAATCAAAATTCAGAGAGAAATTTTTAGAACAAATACCTTTTACAATTTAGGTAAGCCAACAATGGAGGTCTGGCCGGACGCAAGAACCTACAGTAATGTAATTCTCACTCCTAAACTTCCAGATACAAACGACTGATTTTAACACAACGCAAAATATAGGTTGCCACTTGCAAAATATAAATTCATGGCCATGGCCACAAAGAAGTTAAAATCCAAAATTCTATTCCGGGTTCCCAATGATCTTAATCAATCTGGAACTTAATCTCTGTATCTGAAGATTTGCTGCATAAACAATCCTGGGCAGTGCGGAACCACAGGGCCCAGGAAAAAACAGGCTTCAACCGGGTCAGGCTGGAACTCTGCAGCCAAGGAGGCTCAGGCCCAGCAGCCCGTTCTGGGGTAGCTCAAGGTGTCTCTGGACAATTACCTAAGTCCCTGAACTACTTGCACCCCCAGCGAGCCAGGGCCGTGGCCCAGTCCTGGAGAAGGTATAATTTTTACCCCTCCCCCTCCACTCTCCGGTCCGCCGCTCACGTTTCTTCCCTCTGCAAGAAAGGCTCCAGAATTTCGTTTAATAAACCTGGTTGAGGCCTGGAAGAAAAGCAATCTGGCAACCGGGGGCCGAAGGAGAGGACCAAGCGGCGAGAAACCAGCACGCACCAGGCAAGCTGGAGAAACTGCAAGAGTCGCCTGATCTGGTCTGGAGCCTGAGACCAAACAACCGAGGAAGGCCTTACCTCGCGAATTCTCGGGACCCCACAATGCACCCAAAGCTGGCACGTAGGGTAGTCAGGGGCGCCGGCGCCACAGCCGGGCTGAGGCGCCGAGTCAGAGCCAAGTCGGCGTTTCCTGTCAGGTCCGAAGGTCTGAGCAGCGGCAGGAGACTCCGGGAGCGAAAGTGAAGCGGTTCCCGCACCAAGGAGACGTTGAGGACCGCACAGGTAGAAGGAAGCTGGCGCGGCCGCAGTAGAATGACAGAGGCACCGCTCACGTGATCGGAGGCACGTGACTGCTGCGGAAGGCGGAAGCTGGGAGAGTCCAAAGCAGCCGGAGGAGGGGCGGGCGCTGCGGCGGGGCTTTTTAGGTGCGGGCAACTGGAGCGCAGGAGTCCGTGACTTGGGTCCGGGAGCGACGCAAGGCTCGGGCCCCAGCCAGCCAGGGCAGGTGGGAGGCGGCGAGCGTGGCGGGTACGCTAAGACCCGCCGACCCCAGACCCAGCGCCTCGCCTAGCGGAGGCCGAGGACTTCCGTCCGGAAGCAGCTAGCAGAGGCCAAAACTCTCTTAACTGTCATTCTTTTGAAAAGTTTGATTTCGCACTTTCGAATTAATTTCCATTTGGATTTAACAGCTCCATGAAGCAGGCGTTCTTTTTCTGATTTTAAAATAGAAAACGGGCTGAGAAGTGGGTCAGAAAAGCTCACTTAACCTAGGGTTGCACATTAGCAAATAATAAATTCCATTGCAGTATTTACTTTTATACTAAAAAGTTATTCGTTGTTTATCTAAAATTCACATTTACAGGACGTCCGGTATTTTATCCAGCAGTCCCATCTGGAGCCCAAATTTTCCCCTAGTCCAGGCCTCACCAACTACCTTTGCTTTAAGGTAAGAATGTACTGCCCTGGAGGTGAGGTGTATATGATAGCATGTTTTCCTTAAAAAACATTGAAAGGGGCTGGGTGCGGTGGCTCATGCCTGTGATCCCAGCACTTTGGGAGGCTGAAGCGAGACCAGCTGGCCAACATGGTAAAACCCCATATCTACTAAAAATACAAAAAATTAGCCGGGTGTGGTGGCGCATGCCTGTAATCTCAGCTACCTGGGAGGCTGAAGTAGCAGAATCGCTTGAACCCGGGAGGCAGAGGTTGCAGTGGGCCGAGATCGCGCCATTGCACTCCAACCTGGGCAGAAAAAGCAAAACTCCGTCTCAAAAAAAAAAAAAAAAAAAAAATCATTGAAAGGGATTTATAACCAACACATTTTTACTAGTAAAATTAAAGTCAGACTAAGACTAATCAAAGTCATGCATTGATTATGAATAAAGATATATATAATAACTGTCAAAGATTGTACTAGGTCAGTCGTTCCGTCTTAGCCAGAAGTGAAAGTCTGAGTGTTGTTTTGAAAGCAAATCTGAGGGGGAAAACTTTCATAAAAGAGAAAAAGAAACCGATCGTGTATTAATGAACTCCCAAAAGCTGAAACAGCATGTTTTCTGTGTAACTGAGCAAAGCTGGCAATGAGGCCTGATCTTCGCATTTCCTTTCTGTATCACCTCAGCCACAGACAGGCGTGATGCAGCAAGTCTCGTCAAATTTCAGGAAGCTTTCCTCTTTTCTAGGAGGCACAAAGATACGGAACAAAATCAGGAAAGTGCAGCGAGCAGAGGGGACTGCTTCACAGGTCACCTGGGCTGGCACTCTCCGAGCATCACAGCATTACCAGACAATTTGCCTGGAATAGCGAGAAGAGAAGGGGCGGGTACTCCAGGCATTATCTCTCTTAACATTATTTCCGTAACACTTCTATTGGAGATTTTTCTTGGTCCATTCAGGCTCCTGTAACAAAGTACTGTAGACTGGGTGGCTTATAAACAACAGAAATTCATTTTCTCACAGTTCTGGAGGCTGAAAGTCCAGAATTGGGGTGCTAGCATGGTGAGGTTCTGGTGAGGATTGTCCCAGGTTGCAGACTGCTAACTTCTCATTGTAGCTTCACTTGGTGGAGAGAAGGTGAGAGAACTCTCTGGGGTCTGTTTCATAAGGACATTAATTTCATTCATGACAGCTCCACCCTCATGACCTGATCATTTCCCAAAGGTCCCACCTTCTAATACCATCCCTTGGAAGTTAAGATTTCAACAGAGGAATTTTGGGAAGACACAAACATTCAGACCATAGCAATGATCTCAGTTACCTAATTATATATCATACCAGGGGTGCCCAAACCCTGGGCCACAGACTGGTGAGGTCCATGGCCTGTTAGGAACCCAGCTGCACAGCAGGAGGTGAGCGGCAGGCAAGCCCCCTGTCAGATCCGCAGCAGTATTAGATTCTTATAGGAGCATGAACCCTATTGTGAACCGCGCATTGTAAGGGATCTAGGTTGCGCACTCCGTATGAGAATCTAATGCCTGATGAGCTGAGGTGGAACAGTGTCATCCTGAAACCAGCCGCATCACCTCCCACCCTGCCTGTGGAAAAACTGTCCTCCTTGAAACTGACCCCTGGTACCAAAAGGGTTGAGGACTGCTGTATTATGACATAAGAAAGATAACCTTTGAGCTACTTTGTGATTTCTTTAAAATTGAGCTTCAGATTTGTTATTCAGAAATGACATGAGGGGAAGTTAGATAAATCTATATGGACAGGAGAAAATAATAATATATTTATTAAGTTAATGTTTAATTTTTCACTAGAATAGAATTATATGTTTGGAGAAGATCTACCACTTAGAGGTCGTCAGAAGGTAGAAATGCATGACGTTTCAAAGGAATTTCTTCAGTCTGAAATATATGGAATGCTATAAATACCATTATTTCCAATCTTTTCTTTCCAAGTATGAATTGAACTTATATTTTCCCACAGAAATAGAAGAGTTCTAGTCAAAGAAAATCCTATTCTAAAATATTTGTCATGAAAACTTACCACCCCCAAGTGAAGATTATGCTACCAGCCTACCTTCAGTTACACAAGGACTTTGAGAAGTTTTTATAGGTGACTGAATAAATTATTAGTTTAATGGAAGAATGATTTTTCCATTCTTTCACACAATCCCCTTGGGAAAAACGGGCATTTGCAAGAAGCTGGCCTAGTTTGGCCTAATGGTAACACTGAGTACTGACATCATGACCTCTTCACAGAGTGAACTGCCCTAACAGCTTCTGATTGCTTTGGTATTGCTGAAGTGCATCTATCATCGAACATGCAGGTTTTCACTTACACTCCATACCAGTGTCCTGAATACTCTTGGCAACCAAGCTTCAGATTTTCCAGGTAAGTTAATTTCATTGCATTGCACCATTGGCCCCATAAGGACAACCTCCCACAATTTGACATTTTAAAAATATGCTCCATGTGGTAGACAGCTTCTGAAATGGCTTTTAATGATCCCTACCTCCCAGTGACTCATATCCTTGTGGAATCCTCTCTTCTTGAGTGTGGGCTAGATCTACTGATGTTCCTATAAGGACCAGAAAATGGTAAAAGTAAAGGGATGTCACTTCTGAGATCAGGTTACAATGCAAGCTGCCTTGCTTGCATTCTCCTGGGTTCTTCTTACTTACTCACTCTGATGAAGCCACGTGCTGTTTGTTAACCATAAAGAGGCTAATGTGGCCAAACTAAGAATAGCCCCCAGTGAACAACTAGTAAAAAATTGAAGCCCTTAGTCCAACAGGCTTCAAAGAACCAAATATGGACAACTGCATGGGTGAGCCTGAAAGTGAGCCCAGTTGAGCTTTGAAATGTCAGCAGCCAACACCTTCACTACAGCCTTGTGAGATACCTGGCACCAGAAAACACAGCTATACTGCAGCTTGCTTCCTGAAACTCCAATAATGCATGAGATTTATTGCCCCACTCTAAAACATTTGGTCACTTGCGAAAGTTGCCTTTCTTTTTAGAAAATTTAACAGCTTTATTAAGATATAATTCACATACCACATAACTCACCGATTTAAAAGGTACAATTCAATGGTTTTTAGTATATTCCCGGCACTATACAAATATCACCACAATCCATTTTAGCCCATTTTCGTCACTCTGAAAGGAAACCTCTCACCCATTAGTAGTCACTCTCTTCCTCTCCAAAAACCCCCCTACCCTAGGCAAATACTAATTTAATTTTTTTAATATCTCAAGATTTGCCTATTCAGGAGATTTTTTTTTTTTTTTTTTTTTTTTTTTTTGACACGGAGTCTCCCTCTGTCGCCCAGGCTGGAGTGCAGTGGCCGGATCTCAGCTCACTGCAAGCTCTGCCTCCCTGGTTTAGGCCATTCTCCTGCCTCAGCCTCCTGAGTAGCTGGGACTACAGGCGCCCACCACCACGCCCGGCTAGTTTTTTGTAATTTTTTTTTAAGTAGAGACAGGGTTTCGCCATGTTAGCCAGGATGGTCTCGATCTCCTGACCTCGTGATCCACCCGTCTTGGCCTCCCAAAGTGCTGGGATTACAGGCTTGAGCCACCGCGCCCGGCCCAGGAGATTTCTTTAATAAATGTAATCATACAATATGTGGTCTTTTGTGGATGACTTCTTTCACTTAGCATAAAGTTTTCAAGGTTTATCTATGTTGCAACATGTATCTATACTTCATTCCTTTTTATGGCCGAATGATATTCCATTGTATGATGTACCACATTTTGTTTATCTGGTTAATGGGCATGCAGATTGTTTCAATTTTTTAGACATTTGTGTGTAAGTCTTTGTGTGATCATAGGTTTCATTTCTGTTGTTTGAGTAGATACCTAGGAGTAGAATTGCTGTTTTATATGATAACTCTATGTTTAACATTTTGAGGAACTGCCAAACTGTTTTCCAAAGTGGTTGCAAGGCCTTGCATTCAACCCAGTAATGAATGAAAGATCTACATTTCTCCACATATTCACCAGCACTGTCATTGTCTGTCTTTTTAGTTAAAGCAAATCCATTTGGGTATGAATAGGTATCTCACTGTGATTTTGACTTCCTTTTCCCAATGTCTAATAATGTTGAACATCTTTTCATGTACTTATTTAGAAATTTGTACATCTTCTTGGGAGAAATGTTTATTTAAACACTTCACTTATTTTTAATTTTTTTGTTTGTTTTTGAATTATAAGAGCTCTGTATATATTCTGAATTACACGTCCCTTATTATTTACACAGTCTGCAATATTCTCGCCTGTTTTGTGGGTTGCCTTTTCACTTTCTTCACGATGTACTTTGAAACACAAAAGTTTTTAATTTTGACTAAGTCTAATTTACCTATTTTCTTGTGCTTTTGATATTGTATCTAAGAAGGCTTTGCCAAATCC